CACCAGCATGCTTCTTCGCATGTTTTCGCATGTATTGAGGGGATTCAGAAGGAGAGAGCTGAAGACCACCTCGCATGCGTCCGCGAGAGTGGTGCGCGTGCACTGCTTGTTGGCCGTGTGGAAGGAGAGGGAGACAGAGAGAGAGCATGCGGGGGATCACCTGAGCACATCCATGTAAAGCTGAGCCTCCTGCGGAAATAGGGGGGATGGTGAGACACCCCGGGACACGGGTGCGCGCATGCGCGCGGTGCTCAGGAGTGGACCGCCCTGAGCCCCCTACCTCGTCGAGAGAGAGCGTCTTGAACTTCGCCAGCTCAAGTGGGGGAGTTTGGGGGGCTGCGGGTTTCCAAACTGTCTTACTGTGCCTTCGGAGGCCTCACGCCCGCCCAGCTCCTCCGGCCTCCACCAAAGTAAAACTAGAAGCCGCGCCGGGGGGCAAGCAATACCGAGGGCAAGCTCGTGACACTACTCTGCTGTACGCCACCGAGAGACTGCAAGATCTTCATTGAGGGGACTCGGGAGCGGGGGGCGGACTCCCTCACTGTCTGCTTTTCTGACTTTTCGGCCACGCCGTGCCTTCCTGACTGGACCGGGGATGCCATCAACTCAGTGTTCGTGACTTGGTCCAGAACGGTGATCCAGTGAAGATCGCGATGGACAGCCAACCGGGAAAAACCCGCAAAGGAGCAGGCTCGGAGACGCCAAGCCACCTGGAGTCGCCAAAAGGAAAACACTCCCGATAGAGACCGAGTGAGCCAAGTGAGCGGTGCCTTGAGATTTCGCATATTTCGGATGTCTGCAGTGTACTGTAAGTGACTTTATTAATTAAGCATGGGACGAAATCATCTGTGCTTTGCTGTCGGGGGGACTAAATTTGTGCTCCTCTGTTCCCCACTGTAGCTCAATCACCAATGTATACAAGACCCATCAAACTTCAGTGCAAGCGAGCCAGTGGAGGGGAGTGAATTCATATGCCACACAACTGGCTCTTCTCGGGAATACCTCATTCCACTCGGGCCAAGCAGCCCAAATTCTTAGTTTCTTTTCAACGTTCCTTCCGCTGCTCGTGTCTTCAGAATATTCAAGGGGCAGGAGGCTCTAACTCGCCAGGTTCTATCCGGGGGGGTCTCGGTGTTTTGCTGCTCGAACGAAGTGGAGTGCAATTTTTTCCACCTGCTCCTGTGGCTGGCCAGCATGCATTAGGACTGCTTGATAGTGGCGGATTGGATGTGTCGCTTTGACATCATAAAACGGGGCGAAACTGCTGGCCAGCCTCCTCTTCTGGTCTATCATACAGCTGAGCCCTTCTCCATGAAGCTGGAGAAGGCGTGGAAAATCAGCCATGGACCGCAATTGCGCGTTTGTAGTGACAGTTCGCAGAGAGCAGGGGAGTGGAGCTCCCGTAACACCACGGAGAGTGGAACCTGTGCTTAGTATAACCAGTGTTGAGGTTGTTAGGCGTGCTTGCAGATTCCTGAAGTTATGAGGCAGGTTGGAGTTAGATGCCTCTGCATGTCAGCACAGTCAAATCCGCCAGTAGTTGTACCTCGGGAGTCCCTGGATGACCCGTGTGCTGCCTGGATTGGTTGGAATGGTCCTTGTTTAGCAGGGGTTTCCTTTGGAGGTGGGTCCGGAAAGGATCGCGCAGACTTACCGATGCGAACTGGTGAGGTAGCCTTCGGGCCAGGGGGTTTCGCCTCCATACCCCAAGAAGGCAAGCAAAGCCAAGCCAAGCCAAGCAAGCAAGGTTCCCAGGTGTTGCCCCGTGAAGCCGATCAGGAGGGCGACGCTGCATACTTGCCCGCGTTCTGCTTCCGAAGACCAAAGCCCTGTCCACTGATCAAGCGGGGAGACTATGGTGTAGAGGTGAGGAGGGCGAGATTTCACATTTTCCCACGCCCGGGTCCTCACACCCATAGGTCTTGCATCGTCGGTCCTGATTGTATGTCCAGGGAGTCTGCATGCGGGTCGAACCGTTTGGAACCGGAGGGGCGAAAAGAGGGATCCGATAGAGTCTTTGTTTGAGGAGGTTGACTTGCGCCCCCTGTGTATGTGTGTGTGTGTGCATGCCGTTGCTCCTGTTTGGCGTGTGAGGTTGCGTGTTGCAGGGAGGCACGTGTTTGCAGTGTCGTGTTTTGCAAGGTGGTAGTTTGCAGATGTTGTCGTGCGCCGCAAAGCCAAGCTAGGCTTGGTAGTCTTCGGGCAGTGCGAAGTGACTGGACAGTGCGACATGTTCATACTTGAAGCTGTGTGGCTGAAGCACAGTGATCGTTGTTTTGCCGGTGTGTAGACCGGGAGCAGAGTGCGGGAGCCCATGATTTTCGATCTCCCGCCCGCCCTTGCCCGATCGAAAATCTGGGGGGTCACCGTTTGTCAGCAAGAGGCTGATGGGGGATACTTTTCTGTCAGCGTGCGGCTGATGCATCGTTTGTCAGCTCTTAATAAGCTGATGTTTCATGTTGGCTAAGCAAGTCGTTTAGCCATGCGGTCAGTGTAGATTCTGGCTGTATTTGCCACCATCTGTCAACAAGAGAGAGCGTTTGCACGCAGTGGTCTTGCTCTTGGTTTGTCTTCAGGGGTTGCTTTCCCTGTTGTGTTCAGGGTCCGGACTCGGTAGGATCCCGCCATGCTAGTTGTTCAATGTTGTTCGAGAATAGGAATCCTGCAGTGTTTCTTTGTTGCTCAGTTTGTTACACTCAGGCATTTGAGCCCCCAATGGTGTTTCGATTGCTGCAGTCCTTGCCTCATGCGGTTGTTACCCAAGAACGGGGGACAGAGCACGTGTACAATCTTGTACATTTGCCTCTCCTTGGGGGCACTCTGCCCCATTATAATGGCCCGTTGTTGCCCTTGACATGCCCGGGGGAATCCCGTTGACATCTTCAATGCCAGCGTTTGCCATCTTTTTCCAACAGCAGCCTAACGCTGCAGGCATATGTTATGCTCACGTACAGTCACGTACAATCATGTTGTACTGTTCGCACTTTTTCGTACGGTGGGCCAATCAGAGTGCATGCAACCCTTCGAAGCAGAACGCACCTTAAAGTCGAGATCGGGGGAATGCCCCGCTATCGCCTCGCGGCAGCTTGGACAGTAGAAGGTGGCGTTCCTCATTTCTGACTTGTACATACTTATACCGTATTCTGTTTAATTTTGCATCCTTTGTCATGGTCCTTTATCATTATGTGTCCAAGCCCGCGAGTGTGGACTACAACTTCTTGGCACCGCCAACCCCTACCCCAGCCTAGGCGAGAGAAAGAAAGATAACAATTCGGGCATGTTTCCCGTGAATTGGTTCCTCGATGAAGGGGTATTCGAAGTTTGTTATCCGGCAGTCGAAACCGAAAGCTGCTGATAAGGTCGAATTATGAGGATCCCGCACAGTATGCGCCAGCACTTGCACTTGCATAAGTTACGGATGTTCAGATCGCAGGGTTATAGACCATGTTAGACCGACAAGCTGACGTGGCAATGATAGATTGTAACCACAAGGCTGCGATTTGTCAATCCGGACTCTGACATGTCGTGCATTCTCCATTCCTGTCCAGGAGCTTTGCCGCACGAAAGTCATTGGAGTGCCGCACAGTGGGCCACCCACATTGCCTGCACCCTCTAAACACTCCCTTGGTGACCATGCAGGCAAGAACTTGAATCTGTACGTCACGCGGCACAGGGACTGAGAGTGTGATTTGCAGCCTTGTGAGGCACTTGTGATTGAAAGGTGACCCTGAGTTTTGTCCCCGGCCGTGGGCAGGGGCCATGCAAGGGGCAGGGCTTCTGAAGCGGAGGGCCGGCGTTGAGTCCGCGACTTGCTGTCGGGCTTACCCGGGCAAAGCACGACCTAGACTACCCGTTAGGGACAAGCCCATGATCGTGGAAGCAGGAAGGGGGCGACGATGGGCGAAGTCACCAGTTTGTCGGATCCGATTTGTTCTATTCTGCATCCAGTCTTTTGTTCGCATTGTCGCTGTAGCCTTTTGTAAACTTCTTGGAGATGGCTCGGCACGGGTCCGCTCTAAGTGCGAATGCTTGTGTGGACTTGCATCGTCTGACTGCCCCGCTTTATGTCCGAGCATGCGGCGACCAGCCGCGTTTGGCTAGACTTGCGATGACTTGTCCGGGTGGTGTTTTGTTACAGGTGACACACAGTCGGGAAGGCCACAAGGCATCAAACCACACATCCAAGATAATGTGCACTGTACGTAGGATGACGTAGGGATATCGTGATCATTGGCGAAGCCGTGACAAGCATGACAAACAGGTCTCCCGGAAAGCAGCTCTCATGTTTCCCGACGTTGTTCCAGGATTTTGTTCCGGCTTGGCAATAAACTATCCGTCAGACTTTAACCGAAAATATTGTTTGACCGCCTTGCGTTCGAGCATGCAGGGTGTGAACGGCAGAGTCACTGAAGAGCATTTGTTGATTGAATTTGCCCGAATGCTCGGCTGACCAAGATATATGCCGTTGACCCTGGGCTTTGACACTGCGCGGCGATTGCTGAGTGAGGCTGTGTTAGCGGCCGCGGGAAAGTGTCAGCGTAGTAAGAGACGTAGATGCGCAAGGTGGCCGGGAACATATTTGTTGATTCCCTGAGCTCAAACAAGCGGCCTGACTGCACCAATGGTTGCATACACTTGCTCTCGCTTCCCTGAGCCTCGACAGGTACTGGCACTTCATCCGGTGTGGCGAGGACCTGCGTTGTGGTCGCCAGTCGTGGCTTCAATATTGATTCACGTGGACACGCGGCCAGTGAAGGATGCCCTGACCGTCGAAGTTGCACTGCAAACACGGAGCACATTCTCTGAGCACCTTGCATGTTAACGCAAAAATCTGTCCAAGCATATCAAGATCCTACCATAGTCTTCTCCGGGGCTTCAGTCCAATGTCTCGTGCGCATGCACCCTCCTGCGATCTCCTTCGCCCTAGCTTGCCTCTTGCTTTCAGTCAGCAGGACGGCGTTTCTGATGTTGCTTTCTTTCTGTGATGCCAGGTCCTCACCATGGGTCGGCAAGCTCACCACATCTCTGACAGCCAGAAGGTCCTCTCACTCAGGCATCACCGGAGCGGCCAGCCAGCGTCTGCTGTGGATGTCCAGGAAACGCTGACGCAAACCGTCAACAATCTATGCGAGGCTTCACAAAATCTTGGCCGTCAATCTCTGCCTGTCGTGTGCCGTGTTCTTGAGGTCGTCCAGTCCAGGCGTCGGTCTGGCAGATATTCTGGGGCGGGGATCCAAGTCGGCACGCGGCCAGTTGCAGCGCACAGCGAAATGGCGAAGCGCGGATCTTCAGGTGGTTTTGATCAGCCGCCAGCTCATTGAAACGTTGCCTGAGATGGACGGCTGACCCTAGAGTCGCTAGAGTCCCTTAGAGCCTGGCCGCCTGTCCCACAGCCACTTTCATTGTACTGGCCATGGCCAGGACCAGCTGAAAGCAGAGATAGCTGCGATCGTCAAGGCCGAGGCTGGCTAGTGTCGTGAATTGCTGTCGGAGTACCGCTGGGTCTATGGCTCCTGTATGCTTATGCAGGCTGCGGACAAGAATCGGCAGCCGTTCCCGACTGAGGCCACGTTGTGGCCTGGTAAGGGGGGACACATTGACCGATGACAAGACGGCGTTTGCAGGGAAGCAGCTGCGACAGCTTGTGCTTTGCCGCTCAATGCATGCTCCAAAGGTAGACTCGCGATTGAAGTCAGACGCCACCAAAGCTCTCTTCAAGCGCTTGCCGCGCTTTGCCGGGGCCACAGTTCAGATCCTGATGCACTTCCATCGCCACTTGGAGAAGGTGCAAATGAGTATGATTCGCAATCGTGACTGCGGTAGCCTCAAATCTCGGTGTGATGTTTACTGCGTGAAGTGCGACTGTGTTCTGCCAAGCTTCTGGACTGCCCGTCCTGCCCAAAGACTTGGAAGCAGCCGCTGCCTCAGCGCCACTGTTCTATTTGAAGCAACCAGGAAGCCTCACTTGGCGCAGGAACGCATTCTGGGCCGCTTTGTTCAGCAGGAACTTCGCAACCAACCACCGGTCAAAAAGGTGTGCGGCCAACCCCTGCACTTTCTATTGTGTTTTGGATAGTGCTTGTTTTCTACCAGGTAAAGGCAACCTTTGCACCACGCTTCCATGCCATGGACCTGATGACCAGCTCGCCACTGTCGAAGTCTTACCATTATGTCAGCTACACCTGGTCAACACATGTCAACACTGGCATAGGTCGAATGGCCTGGCAACATGTGTCCTGTTTGTCAATGCTGAAAGCTTATGTCTTATGTTTCGTGCTTCTGTTGGATTCGCCGAGGCCTTCTGCTTTCGACTGTGCCTTTGGGCTTGGGCCCGAACCATTCCGCGCCTGCTGTTCTGCCCACCGGTCTGAGAACAGGACAGAGACAGCAATCGTGCTTGCTGGCTCAAAGGTATGCTCTGGGACACACCGCAGCCTTGCTTGTCAACGAGCGCCGAAATTTCTACGTCGCCTGTTGCGCAGGCACACCTGCCGATTGACTGCCTACCATCGTCTAGTAAAGTCGTCTGCGGTGTCCGCCTGCAAGGTATGCACCGCAATACGCGCTACTGGGAGCCTTGCGCCATTCCATTCACGTACTTGTACCCAGAGGTGCGGCATGTTTTGCGTCTACCCCCTGTGGTGCGAGCCTTTGACCATCTTTTTCCTGTATTGTGTCTTTCTTTGCCCAGCTTGGTTCATGCAGATCGTGAGCTAGTCAACTGACACCCGGCACATCTCGGCAGTGCAGCTCGGCCGTGCCCAATACCAACTGCTCATAGCCAGCTTGGCATACGCGTTCTGGAATAAACTTTAAACTTCAATTTAAACGTTTCTCGCGGCATTGCCCTCAGTGCGTGGTCTGAGCATCTCTTGGTTTCAGGCAAGAGCAAGGAACGACAGCTACTGTAAGCCACAGAGCGCAGACGCCTCATGTGCCTGCCATGGCATCTCCTGGAATCGCCCTTCTGAAGAATGCCGATGGCTACGATGATGTGGCAGTTTTCTCAAAATCTGAGTAGTTGTAATCTCAGTTGCTCCACGCGTTTAAGCATCGGAAGGCAGCCCGGGTGAAGCCATCAGCGGCTGCTGCCTGGGAGCACAGCTCAGCCTTCCATCGGCCAAGTCTTGCAGAAGAGCTCTATGTGTCCATGGGCCACGTGGTCGTGAGCCCAGGACGTTCCCAGTGGAAGTTTGGTCGAGGTCGTGGAGGTGTGCATTTCTTGCGTGCAGCGCTTGCTGCTCATGCGACTCCGATTCGGGAAGGAGTGGGTTGACTGTGAACACGGGACAAGCCGAGGTTCCTGGCATAGCGTAAAAAGATCAAGAATGACAGAAAGCTTCAGCGCATTGACTTGCAAGGCTTCATAAAGTCGAAGAACTTGCCCTCGGTTGCATCAGCCACTTCTGGCGACTGGTTGGAGGCATCTTTCGTGCGACTACTGCAGTACAGTGGTCTTTAGCAGACCCCTTCGAGTGGCAGGTGCGCGACAGCTTCGCAGGCACGGGAAGTGTCGTAAATGGATTCCTGCAAGGCATCGGCTGCACTCGGCAGGCAATGACGAAACCTGCATGCGGCGGCATTGTGAACAAGATGCTTCCGCAGGTGCATTATTGAATTCATCATTGATTGCGTTGTTGCTGTCATTGGCATGAGCAAGTTTGCGAAACATGTCGTGGCCAACAATTCAGGTAATGTGGTCTGCTTCGTCCCGAATGGGCCGAAGATTGTAAAGATGGTAGACAGGTGGACTGAGTGCAGGCAGGAATGGTTTCAAGTTTCAAGCTTGTGGGTAGTTAGCAGATGTCGCATGGGCACAGGTGGCGCGGTTACAAGCTTTTTGCCAAAGCTCGGCACGTGCAGCCTGCGCCGGCCGGTGCAAGCCTGGATACCGCAACGCGGCATTGGCAAGTAAGAGGGTACTTGTAGCCTGGACCCGTCCTGTGCTGTGCATCCAGGTAGGCCATGGTGGCGATTTGGGAAAGCCCGGTGCACGTGCAAAAGCAGCTCCAGGCTGGGCATCGCTTGCCGGAACCCATGTAACGAATGTAACGGCTTCACTCGCCGAGGTGCAGAAGAGGTGGAGCCGCCAGCCAAACGCTTGAAAAAAGGCGGGGCCCTTTATGGCGTCGGGTGCGGGAGTGAAGTCGACACTTGACGAGGGCGGCCTCCGTGCAAGCCGCAGCCACAGCATCTGCAGCAAGACTTTGCAGGAGGTCGCTGGGTTCAGCCGAGTGTGGCCGAGGTATGGGGCTGGCTGCTACCAGAAGAACCCGCTGCACAGGGCCAAGTATGAACCTTAGCCGTGTTACGTGTCGTCTATGCTCACCGTGGCTTTTCTTCATGACTTGGCTCTTCGTGGCACAGCGAGCCGACGAAGCACATGCTGAACTTCGAGATCTACTTCGAGAAATATATGTTCATAATTATGAACACTGCACCCCCAATCACAGTCTGGCTAGCACTTACCCAGAACGAACGAGAAAGCCGACGAGTGCTCGACGTAGATTTTCGGAGTGTTCACCGAGATTTGGTTTTCTTTCCGAGAAGACTACGGCATCGGCAACTTCGAACCGTACAATGGGTTGCAGGTAGAAATCGATCAACTCCGAGATGAGGTAGGCGATTTCGCTAGGACCGTTTACCAAGAGCCAGTACCCAACCTAGTTAGACCCTCGAGTACAGTAGCACCTCCTTCGGACCGTGATCGCAGACGACGAAACCCTACGAGGTCGTAGTTCCCGGCTTTGCACACCTGTACGGCAGATGGATGTCTGAGTGTGTGCTACAATGAATGCGTGTAAGGCGGATGAATGCGCCAGCGTTTGTTACTTGAAACCCAGCACCTTCGTTTTCCTTCACCGAAGTGCTAGCATTCCTCCGAGCACATGACCTTACCTCGGTGGCACCCCGCTCTTGCCATTAAAGATGTCACATCGATGGACAGGCTACAGAACACATCCGAAACAACTTGAGTCGAGATAGTCCAGTGTCGACCTGACCTCGACCGGATGCTGGCAGCTCTCGAGAGGAGGTGTCTCGAGCGGTGGTGCCCGTCAGATGTAGGGACCTGCCTACTTCGAGTTGCCCGGCCCGAGGCTCCCTGTCGAAAGAACTCATATCAGCGATGCCGGAACATCGCGATGAAATCTTGCGGGAGCTCCGAAGTAACACCTACTACGCGATTTTCATCCAGGCCCGACAGGAGAATGTGGCGAACACGCGCGACCGTACCACCGGAACTTGCTTTTGGAATGGCACAGGCACAGGTCGAACGAGGATGGGGCCAAACGAAAGTCAAGGACTCCTTCTTCGTCGAAGACGTGACCAGGATCGAGATCAAATCCGAATTTGACGGACCACATCCTTGGGCACGACTACTCGGATACCGCATCGATATGGCGATCATCTGCTGCTGGTGGTTGCTGCGCGGCATTGAGGCCTCATCGGTCAAATTGAACCAAGCTTGGGCCGAGATTGCAGGGAGAACAGCGTTCATCACGCTGCCTTGCACGCTGCCTGGCACAAAGACAGAGATCGTCGGCCGTGTGGCCGTGTGGGTGTGTGTGTGTGTGACTCGATCACATCCGTGAAGTTGTCACTAACCCCCACAGATGTGCCCTTTCCAAGCACTACGCCGATGAAGGACTTCGGCTGCCCCGAGGATTCTCCATTCTCTTTTTCCGGCACCGACCATCATCCCCTTCTGCATCATCAGACTATCGAAATCTTCCGATCGGTGGTCGCCGCCACCGGAACATCGATGACATGACATGGATCGCATGGCTTACCCCTCGCTTCTGCGAGCATGTCTGCAGTGTGTCAGGGGCAGTGCTGCTTACTCGCCGAAGTTTTCCGTTGGACACCGTTCAACCTATCGGTCGATGGGGCCGCGATGCAATCAAGGTGTAGGTCCAGGAGTGGCCGCTCCACCGCGGCGATGAATGTTTCCGCCCTGCGGACATCTCGAAACCCGACCAGACCAGAGAGACGGTCGAACACCACCTCGAGACACTGAGACGGAATTCTGTGGGTTGTTAATACCACGACCAAGGTCGTTCACCGACCTGGTGTCTCCGAGACATCCACCGACAGTGTGCATTGGCACGCTATCTGCGGTTGGCCGTGCGGGTTTGCCCCGCACAAGCGCCAACCCAGCGGCCCAAAGTGTAAACGGTCCCATCAGTCCAAGGCCCCATCCGGGGAGTTCCAAGTTTGCACGAGTTCTGATTTTCAAAAAACACAGCGTCCCATCAGGCCATGATTTTGTCCCGTATAAAGTCTCTCCGTCCCTAATTATAAATCCCGTTCGGGTCTTCTTATGCTCTCTTTAATCCAGAAGTATCCTTCACACACATGCTCCTTTCCGAGGAAGGGGCATCAGCTGACTGACCAGTCCGCAGTGAGATTCTGGAGCAGATATTGCAATCTCCTATGGCCTCAATCACTTCTGCCAAGCGGACCAGCTGTGTCTTCCTGCGACTGCCTCAAAGAATATCGCTGCATTCTCTCGCGGAGAACTACTGTACTGGCAAGACATCACAAGCGCAGGTCTTGGCTGCTGTGACCACAAACCCCTGACTCAGCGCTCAAACACTCTTGAAGCTATCAGAGGCTGACGCTCACGAAGCCCCCGTTGACAAGCACTTCAGCTGCAAGCGACTACTACCACAAGCGGCTTTCACGACTGCCACCAAGCACTTCAGTCTACTTCAGTTTCGAGCAACAACTGCGCACTGCGGACAGACTGTGTCTGCCTACGACTACATTGCATCACCACACGTTTGACGACAGCAGCAGGGTGTTGCCATCCCACTCCGATGAGGGAGTAACTAGCTCCTTGCAAGTCTTGGTCCAAGCTCGACCCAGTCTCTGTAAATTCCTGTGCGTAGACTCGTTGGGTGGCCAAAAATTCAGGAGAGCTCGCCGCACAGCATGCTTCTGGTAGTGATCGTGCATAGGATGTTTCTATGCCTAGCTGTGTGTGTGTGTGTGACTGCTGATTGCATTCATGTTATTACATATGTCGCTTATGTCCAAAATGTTTATGTCTTCTGCAGTTGCAGGCCTACACTCATTGTTTGTGTGATGTCCGTGCGCCTCTGGACTCTGAATGTGAGTATGAAAAAACATACGGACAGGCAGCCAGCCCAGCTATGCGGACAGAACGACAGACCGACAGGAGAACAAACCGACAGAGACAGACAGACAGACAGAAAGACAAACAGATAGACACACGAACATGCGAGAGCAGAGACGCTCGCATGTATGCGAATATAAACTGTCATATAAAGTCAGAAACATCTGATAACCTGATAACTAGCCATGCACATGAAGCTCAGGTTTTCTCACCCCGGAGATGCGGACTTCGTTCCCGATGCAAGCGGAGAACCTTCGGCCAGCTCGAGTGCAGGAACTCCTTCCACCTCAGCTGGGGACAAAACGGGGTCTGTCGATTCCGCGCCTGCTGATGTGACGATGAAGGAAGGGAGTGCAGCTGACGCTGAGCTCCCAAGCTCTGCCGCAGAACCGGCAGTTTCGGCTCTGGCTGCAGCTCCGGCTGGCCTTGCAGCGGGTGATGTTTCGGCACCGACAGTTCCAGAAGCTAAAGCTCCGCCAGAAGAGCTGCATGCTCCGCCCGCGATCCCCGACGCTTTGCCTTCGAAACATTCTGAAGCTCCGGCTGGAGCCAAAGAAAGCCGCCGTCTCAGGACACATGTTTCTGCCTTTTGGCCCAGACCGATTTGCTAGACTTCTACAACTGTGCGAAATGCAGAAGCCAAACACCAAACTAGACAACGTTCTCTTCAATGCCTTGTCCGGCTTTCGAGCGATGCGTGCGAAGCACATTCTGTCCAAGGTCGTGACTGCGATTGCTGTTTCGACAATGTTCCTGCCACCGACGGAGTTTCTTGCCCTGGGAAAGCACATTTCTTTTGCGGGCCTTGCCTCGCAAACTTCCTTGTCGCATCCTCGGAAGCAGTTAGTTTCAGAATCAGCGTTTGAGCTTGCTGCACGACGACCGACTCAGTCAGGAAGCATTCAAGACATCCGAGTATGCGGAACAAAAGATGCTTGCCTGCAGACATATGTGTCACACAATGTGTCGCCTACATGCCTTCTTGAGCATTGATGACGTCAGCAGGAAGGCAAAAGGCCGAGCTTTGTGTCCCATGAAGGCCCGCAGCTCAGCTGCGTCGGACTGCCTGTGTGTCTTCGGGCAGTTTGCAGTGTGTAGACAGATTTTTTTGCACCAAAGTCCAGGATTCAGATACTCCATTCGGAGATGGAGTGCTGGCTGCGTTTGTTCCGCAGGACCGGTCATTCTGAAGCTTCTCCGCCTGCGCAGAGATCCCAGAAGCTGCCAGGATGTCTTTGATGAATATCTGCAGATACGGATCAAAGTCGCCGAGCAGAGCATCCAAGAACAGTTCGAAAAAGAGAACACAGCGAAGATAGAGGAGTTGAAGGAAAAACTGGCGAAAGCCACGGGCAGTCAAAGTCTCAGCTCTTGGCGTCTGCAAAGACCGGGTCCTTGTATGCTGACACGCATGCATGAATGTAGTCGGATTCTCAGGCGGGGAGCAGTTGGAACTGGACAAGCATCGCCTGAAGATCATCGATGACATATTTACTTTGAAGTGCCCCCGGTGCAAGATGGCCTTCTTGGACTACGACAACTGTGCTTGGGCTGATCTTTGTGAGACAATGAAGCCTGCTTCTCCAAGTAGCGTGTCGAAAGGCAGTGCAATATCGTGCTCCGCTTGCAAGTGTGGCTTCTGCTCATTCTGCCTCGAGGCCTACTCGTCAGCTAGTAGTGTGTAGTCGCTAGCCACAGCGCATCACTGAGATTTGCCAAGCTACCCTCTCGCGAACACTACAGACGCGGGACTGTGGCAAAGATGCACACAGTCACTTCTACAAGAATGGCAGCAAGTGCCCCAACGAAGGCAGGGACGGGGCGGACGATGAGGCTCAGAGCGAATCCAGAAATTCCTCTGCAATACCAGTGCCCTCTAAGGAGCGCGACCAAGCACTGAAGACAAACGGGTGTTTTCAGTGCATGCATGAGGGGGTGTGAGACGTTCAGTGCATCTTACGCCAAAGCGACAGTTGTCTCGCCCACACCCTGTGCATGCAGGTGGGCCCTTGTTTGTGCCCCACAATGTGTGGCAGGGCTACCAGAATGCCCGCAAGGCCCACGCTATTCTTTGGCATATGGTGCTTCGCCCGTCGCCAGTGGATTCTCGATCTGTCACGAGCAGGAGCGGCTTCTTTGTGAATACTTGGCCGGTCTTCCAGATGAGATGCGCAAAAAGGTCCATCACCCGTTGCCAGACGATTCGAAGCTGATAGATACTCTTGGCCGAGGTGGCTGATCTTGTAGCGCCGGATGCCAAAGACTTGGGCATCGAGATGCCGCAGGACGGGAGTGCAAGGGCAACCAGGTCGGACCAGTTCCTGCTCACTGCATCTTAGCAGGACCTTAGTGCAGCAGGACTTATGCCAGAGGCCGGTGCATAGCTACATGATGCTGCATGTGTCGAGGAATTTCGTGAGGGAGGCAGGGAATCGAAGGAAAGAGGCTGAATCCCTTGCAGGCACACGGAATCCAGCGGCTCAAGGTCACGATTCCCCGAAGGCTTCCTCAAGCCACGGATACGTTTCTTGGAACCTTTCCCTCTGGCCAGGATGCGTGGCCTCATCCACCCTGTTAAGAAAGAGCTGCCGTCCAAAGTGGACTTGGCCTCGGACAAATCACAGGAAGAATGCGTTTCGTTTGCAGTGTATGCGTTTCCAGCAAGAGAATACTTGTGCTCCTTTCGGGTCAAGGAACCGAATCGTTGCGTTTCTTCGATTCGATTCGTTTCGCCTTCGGACGGCTGGGACCGTGCTAGCCTCTAGATGAGCCCAGAGGTTTTGGCGGGACTTGGCTCCACATTTTGGTGTTTCCAGCCCCGAAAACTCCAAACCGTACAAAAACAGCCTTCGAGGGCTCCCCCAGCTTCCAGCCCACTGCCATCCGCAGCCTAAAATATTTCAAAAGCGCTCATTTTGGAGTCTTCAGCGCGCGAAAAAAGCTCAAAATGCGCGCGCCTGAACTTTCCGAGCGACCAAGCCGTTTCCTAAACTTTTTTATTGTAACTAACGAGCCAACGGTCCTTCTCGAGCTTTCAACCCCTCCCACTCTGCAGGTTAGGGTGCTTTTAGGTGCATTTTCAGCTTTGTAAACTCCAAAAACAGCCTTCGAGGGCTCCCCCAGCTTCCAGCCCACTGCCATCCGCAGCCTAAAATATTTCAAACGCGCTCATTTTGGAGTCTTCAGCGCGCGAAAAAAGCTCAAAATGCGCGCGCCTGAACTTTCCGAGCGACCAAGCCGTTTTCCAATTTTTTCTATCGAACCAATAGGCCTCCTGAATAACCCTTAAATGCTACCTCCGACTAAGACATGCGTGGCACTCTAGTGACTCGGAATGTGGTATTCTAAACATAAATTTCGACCGTAGCAGTAGTCGTCGTCGTCGTTGTTGGTTGTTGTGGTAGTGGTGGTAGTGGTGGTGGTAGTAGTAGTCGTCGTAGTAGTAGTAGTAGTAGGAGGAGGAGGAGGAGGAATAGGAGCAGGAGTAGGAGTAGGAGTAGGAGCAGTAGCAGTAGCAGCAGGAGTAGTAGTAGTAGTAGTAGTAGTAGTAGTAGCAGTAGCCGCAGTAGTAGTAGTAGTAGTAGTAGTAGTAGTAGTAGCCGCAGTAGTAGTAGTAGTAGTAGCAGAAGTAGTAGTAGTAGTAGTAGTAGTACTAGTATTAGTACTAGTAGTGGTAGTGGTAGTGGTAGTGGTAGTACTAGCAGTAGCAGCAGCAGTAGTAGTCGCAGTAGTGGTAGTGGTCGTAGGAGTAGTGGTAGTGGTAGTCGTAGTAG